GATTTAGATCCCTGTGCCATCTCAGTCTCATGTCTGCAGCAATAGCAGGGAGATGCATTGCATCAAACCAAGTGTTCCCTTTTCTTCTCTAAGCTGCGTTAACCGATAGCAGGAATACGTTACATCACATGATGAGCTGTAGACAGGAAGAGCGACTCAAAAACAAATCCTGCATGTTCAATATTGTGAAAGAGATTCTGTGCCCTCCTGCAACTACTTTTCAAATGTTGTGCTGCCCCCTCTGTACACCTTGTGTCGAATAGCAGTTGAGGTGGAAATAAATCACTTTGCAGTCATTACTTAACACAGCTTAGCGAGGAAAAGGAGCACTTAATTTGATGCAAGGGATCTCACTGCTAATGCAAACACGGCAGAATCATTGTCATGTGAGACTGAGATCATACAGGGATCTCAATCACTCTCATGTTGGTGCTTTATGTGTGTGTGTGTGTGTGTGTGTGTGTGTGTGTGTGTGTGTGTGTGTGTGTGTGTGTATTTTGTAGTATATTTGTGTTGGATGGCTGATATTTAAAAGATGTAGGCCCCTACATTGGCTTTTGCCTTAAACCTTTGTATACTGTACCTGTGCCCTTGTTATGGTAAACTTAGCACAACACTAAACTTTTGTCCAACTTCAAATCTGTGGGAAGTCCCTCGGGAATTGCATGAGTTTGTTTTTACTTTGTCTTCCAGATTTGATTTTTTAAATTTTTATAATGCTCTCTTTTTTCTGTCTTGTTTACCTCTCTCTCATATCCATGGCTTCACTCACTCTCTGTAGTTTTATAAGAAGAAGAATGGGGTGGTGGTGTTCCAGCAGAGCAGCAGAGGAGAGAACATGATGCTGGAAATTCTGCCCAGCCAGGAAGGAGAGACGGTGATGTTTTGTTTGTATTTTAGTGATTGATTAATAGTAGCATGACTTTATTTATTACAGTGGTTTAAGATAAGTCATAGGATGTCTTAAAACTATTAGTTTTGCTATTTCTAATATAGATCTATGTATTTCTGCCTTTCACACACGCTTAGGTGTGTGATGATGTTGCTGCACAAGTACTGGGGAAGTCGGTGTTTGTCAGCTGGCCTCATCTAGAGGAAGCTCGCATTATTGCAGTGTCAGATGGAGAAACCAAGTAAGAATTAGTATGGCAAATTAAACCTTTACCAGCAAAGGATGCTAAATGTCTTTGATAAATAGTTTTTGATTTGTTGATGTAGCATCTTTCTGTTGTAATAAGGGTTTTATATGGATTGATTCTATCCATATATAGAATTCCTGTTCTGTTTTTTCTAATGTGCAGTATGTTATCAGTCAGCAAGGACTGAAATCAGATAGCTATGTTTTTGAGAGAAAAGACTAAGATCAGACTCATGATAACCTTAACAACACTGTGCATGCTGCTAAGATTCATGTAATGCTGCATGCTAGTGTCTCCTTCGATTCTGTCATTAGGGGGCAGTGAAGCTGTACATTGTTCAAATTTTACACATTTTCAGATGGTGAACAACTTCACCAACCTCAGCACCATCAGTGTAGCGTGCATGCTAATTTGATTTGGAAGCACAGAGTTGATCCGCTTCTCTGTAAAGCATTAATTTTGGCAAAAGAGGCAAATCTTTCAACTTGTTTTGCAGGTTTAGTCTGGAAGAACCGCCCGGTGTCCAAAGAGTGTACAACAGGGCCTCCACTCCTCCTCCCACCAGAGTCACTGGCCTGTCTGACAAGGAGGAAAAGGATTGGGTGAAAGATGTCCAGGGAATCACTGAACAGTAAGGCACACAAAATGAAAAAAAACTTTATCAATTAGCAGGGAATATGATATGCAGCTGTTTATAAACACTTACTTTTTTCACACCATTAAAACATACTGATGTTGTTTTCATTTGTGGTTAAGAGATCTTTAAAGCCACTGTAACCAGACTGTTAGCTCTTTTCCATTAAAATCATAGTAGAAGAGAATGGATGCCTCTACAACATTAAAATGAACAATAAATCAGAGACACACCACAACAGGACTGATAAATTCCACTTCTCACCGTAGGATACGCAGTCTGTGTTGTCCACACCTCTCCAGCCAGGGTCTCACCCAAACTCTGCAGCTTTTTCCTCTTTTTAATTTTTTTTTTTTCATGTTATTTTTGCCACAAACTAAAATGCAATAAAACAGTGCCAGCCAGTTGTCATCCATGTTTGTTTTGGCACAAGAAAATGAGAGAGTTGGTGTGACCTTCTATCATCTGTGCCCGGAAGTTACAGTCCTTACAGTCGTTAAACAGTCCATAATGTTTAGTCAGTTGTTAGGTGTGTACTGCTTCCTTACTGTCAAGGACTAAACATCTGCAGAAGTTGGTGGAAAGAGTTTTTAAAGTGTGGCTTGTCCAGTGTTTGTAGGTTTCAGCCAGTCATCAAGTGTATTCACACCTTTATCTCTTGTATTTCAATTTTTTTTTTTCATGAATTATTTTTCATTTTCACAGTTTCTTCAGGAGGAAAGGCATC